GCAACCACCCGCAGACCTGGCAGCGGCCCATCTCAGGGGGTACGCATTGCCAATGGTACTAAACATTACACTAATAAAGTTCACATAATGATATTTATTAAATGAGGATGAACTGCAAAACACAAGGTGAGATAATACACAAGGACAAGGAAGCCATGCAAGCTGGCACATCTAACAAGAGAGAAAGAAAGAGAGAGAGAGAGAGATGTAACAGAAGGAAAATATGAGAAGGGAACATCCTGAAAGAAACCTTAGGGTGGTATTAGCCAAATAGACATGTGTTATGACTACATAACTAAATCAGTATGGATTTTGTGCTATTTATGCAAAAGTACCGTATATTAGAGCAGGAAAGCAGAGACTCTTTGTATATCAGTCTGGAACATGGTTTCAGTTGAGGAAAACACTATCAGAAAGATACCAGAAAGGTGAAGAAAATTCAGAGCACCATGACCTAGAGATGCAGAAGCAAGTTTCAAAAAAGCTAAAAAGATGCTAAGCAACAAGAATAAGTTGGACATGGAAACATTCTACAAATATCTGAAAATTATGTATACCAAGGTTGATTTGGCATAATATTCAAATTTAGTCTGAAGAAACAGGATAGAAATGTTATGGTGAAAACTCAGAATATTGAGAGAAAGAGAGAGACTGACTGAAATACAATACTCAGCTGTGAAACAGGCTCTAGCTCTACAAGTTAAATTGTGGAAATAACATTTAACTTAATAAAATCTATCAAAAATCATACTGTATTGCACAATCCTGCATTGCCACAGGGTGACTGACTAGATCGTCTCTTAGTTAAAACCATACCTGGTCAACAAGGTTTAAAACATTTTACTGTACTTCTGTATATCAATTACACTATAAGTGCACACTAAAAATCATTTTAATTAGTACATTTTGATCTACATATTTAAAAAGCATTCTATACTTCTATAAACCTTTTAGTCAAAATATTAACTATTATCAATGGGATTATTTTAAAGCAGTGGATAATATGAAAAATACTCATATGTAATAATGAAAGAAAATTAGGCACTGAGAGCAGAGAACTTGCTCAAGATCACAGAGAAAGGGTATAGTAGAAAGGATACCATAACAAGAACTACCAACTCCTAGCCTTACACTAACTGCATGACAGTAATTCTCCTTCTGGCCTCCATTAACTGTTCTAAGGAGATTAAACATAAGAAAATACTGTTATGTACAATGATTTTATAGCGCATTTCCCATGAACGTCCCTTTTTTCCTGGGCTGAAATCCACAATATAAAACAAAAAACAATAGGAGCACATTCCTTTATTTTTACTGCCACCTAGTGTAGCATAGGTGTTTATTCACCCAATAAAAAATGCTTACACACAAAAAAAATCATACTGAAAAAAAAAAACATGCAACTAAATAGGTAGAACAGATTCATGGTCCTAATACAAAACACAACGCACCTGAATGTAATATGTTTTTTAAAAACAAAAGTACTAGGTCAACTTTCCAGGAACTGAAGGATATCTACTCTACAATGAAGAGTAAATGCAGTAGAAATATATGGAGTTCAAAATGAAAAACACTTACGCTTTCCAATACTACAGTACATCATCATAATCATCATTGTATATTACAACTGCACACTTAAAACGCCCTGAAAACTAAAGCTATACTTGTTTCCAAAGAGAAAAGACTACTCTGATTTGTAGAGAAAAGTTATTAAAAACATATGGAATAAAAGGCAAGAAAACCTTGATTCCTTGTACAGATGATGATAATCTTCTAAAATTTTCTTGTAACTAGCTTTGCACTGCAGTTTATAATCCATTCTTGCTTTTTAACGTTTCCCACTATAGGTCTACATTCTATCATGCCCTATGCAGTTTTAGTTCCTCCCAGGTCCCCATAAGTCCCAGCACAAAGAAGGATCAAATGCCATGACAAGAACCCTGAAGTTCCCTCATACCCTTACCCTTAAAAAAAGCAAAGAACCAAACTCCCCTCCTCCCCCACAAAAACCCCCAGATACCCAAGCATCCCCCCTACCACCTCCACATGCAAGATTCAAAATAAGTCAACTTTATTTTCAAGGTATCACCTTCTCAGAACCTATAGGCAGGGGCAGGCAATTATTTTGGCTGGAGGGCTGCTTAATGAGTTTTGGTGAACTGTCAAGGGCTGCAAGGGTAGTCCCGCCCCTTGACAGGTGCCCTGCCCCCTGGTTGCCACCTTGGGAACAGAATTCCTGCCCCCTAACCACTGGCCTTTGCCACCGGAAGTCCTTCCCCTTGCCCCTGGAAGTATTCCTTTTGGCAAGGGGGTTTGCCATTTTGGAACTGGAAAAAAACCCAAGTTATATGATAAAGATCAAACATCTACAATAAAGTATTTCAATTTTATTTAAAAAAATATTTTTGTCCCGATGTGTGTGTTTGCGTAGTGTATCTAGAGGTGATTGCATAATAGCTCAAAATGAAGTCTTATTCTTGTATATTGGGGGGGGGGGGGGTGAGGGGGGGTTTCTGGGGGGCTGTGGGTGTACGAGGGGTTTGTGGAGGGAGTGTGGGTGGGTATGGAGTTTGTGTGGGGGTGTGTGGATGCGTGGGAAGCGGGGCTCGCCCCCACGAGAGCACAGCAGGGGCAGGATGAGGCTAGGCCAGATACAGTGAAATGGTAGGCACTCGCTCACAGGTCAGATGAAAAAATCACCTGGTGGGTCAGACGAGGCCTGCAAATATTTTGCCTGGCAACAGTCGCTCTAATTAAAATGCTGCCCCATCTACCATATCAGCATCTGGGCACTTAAATATGGCAACAGGAGTGCTTAAACTAAAGCTCATTGAACACACTTTAGTTCAAGCACCCCCGCTACCATTTTTAAGCATGAGGACGCTGATACACGAGACACAGGAGGCTGTGTGGAAATTGCCATACTCCAGCAGATTCCACTAATAGAGTCTGCTCCGATGCACTGGCATTCCAGCATGTCAGAGCACCCTCACTGCTTGTGTATAAGCACCCCAAAAAACCTGACAAAACCTTCTTGAAACCATTCATTCAAGGCTTCAGCAGCAACTTTTCCTAGGCCTTGTGTTCTGCAGGCAGTTCAGCCTGCACTTCTAATTTCCTCTGCTCCCTGACTTTAGATTGGAGTCCAACTTTGGTTCCCCACTTCACTGCTGCCTATGTCTATGAAGCAAGTCTAATCTGCCAAGTCCAAAAGCACAGCCAAGGAAACCCTAACCACTTGCTCCTGCTCTGTGTATGCTGAAGACCAGTAATTAGGGAGCACAGCTGGGTTAGAAAAGTTCCAAATGCACGCTCCAGTGCTGTCCTCAGATTCCTTGATCCTTGCTTCCAAATATATTATTAGATATAATATATTAGTCATTGGATTAAATACATAAACCACACTGGAAACAGAACCCAAAGCTCCCTCTCTCAGCACTGTTCTCTTCCAACAGCTAGAATCAAGCCCCCCCTCAGATACTATGCTTTCACCCCATGAGTTTGCATTCCTTTCTACCCTGTGGCCCAGCTTCAACAAAAGGGGTGGAGGGTGGCCTCATGGGGATAAGAAAGTTGCCCACAGTGAAATTTCCTGAGAAGCAGGAAGTAAGACCTAGAAGTCAGGTCCCCTGCTTCCTGCACAAGTATCCCAAGCATCATGTAACTGACCAAGAGATGAGTAAGCCCTTCTCCTACTCTCTTGATGTTTAGGGCAAAGATGGAGAAAAGTTACATGTGCTAAATAATTTTCCACCCAAGCAGAACCTGCTGCTTACACTGTGGTCTAACCTGTACTGCTTCTATAGCTTTCTAATGCAGTGGTCTTCAACCTTTTTATATTTGTGGGCCCCTAAACAATTTTGAATGGAAATTCAGACTCCTTTGAATTGTAAGTGTGGGTATTCACATATTTTGATTGATCTTAGTCATCTTTCTCAGACCCCATGGACACAGTCTGCGGACCCTCAGGTATCTGCAGACCACATTTTGAAAAACACTTTTCTAATGCAGTGGTGCTCAACCCATCTGACCAATGGGATGGATAGGCAGGGCCGGGTTCCTCCAGGTACAGGGGCGGGGGACAGATCCACTGGTGGTCCCAATCTGGTGCCCGGAGTGGTTGTTGTGGGGGGCCCCATCCAGCCATGCAAAGGGGGAGGGAGGGGGGACAGTCTGGTCCCAATCCAGCCACGTTGAGGAATGGGGCTTGGCTCTGCCCCAAACCAGCCCCATGGGGGAAGGGGCTTGGCCCTGGCCATGATGCTTATTCTTCCTAGCAATCCATGCCTCTGGTTTGCAAGTCAAAGGAGGAATTGTCAAAATACAGCTTATACAATAGAATTGCACTCTTTGGTCTTTTAAAAAAGTGACCCAAAATGGCATAACATGGTACAGGATACTGCGTCTTCCAGGTTAAGTGTATTCTGGAAGTGTCCCAAGTTTAGTGCTGCTCAATCTCATATGCAACACAACTATCAAATACTAAAGAAAAAGAACATTAAACAGAACTGATCCATCAAAAAACTCCCAGGAATACTAGGGACTGCAATCTGCATTTTACCTTGCCAACAAAACACACTGTACTTTGATGACTTCCGTCTCTATCCAAAATAGAGTGCCTCTATCCAAATCTTCCTCACCCTAATCAGTAGATTTACAGTAGGGAGGGGAACAAATCAATCAAGCAAATACAATTGATGGTTTATATTAAACAACTCTAATTTTACATTACATTATTGTTTCAAACTGTTAGAACACCAAATACAGTATTTGAAATTACTGTAATCAATAACTTTTGCAATAACTTTTATGAAACAATACATTTTAATACCGTCAATGCTGCTTTTTCTCCAAAACTTTATATTTTCATAATAAATTACACAAATATTTATACAAGTATTTCTCAGCTGCCACAGATTACATTTAAATATAAATAGTAAATTGATTAACATTACTATTTACTATTTGTTTATCTGCAGGTATGTTATTGTAGAACTTACCTCAATTGACTGAGATTTCACATTGTGGGGATGAGGTGATCTTGGATAAATATCAAGAAGGTGGGGTGGATCATCAGTATGTGTTCTTCTAAGGTGGTGTTTAAGAACTTCCTTGCGATTGAATGCATCAAAATTTGTGTTCCACAGCAAGACCTGTATAAAACCATCACTATAATTAAAACCAAATAAGTATTTTTCTTAGAAAAAAATAACTATTCAATATAAAAAACAACCTTAATTTCTATGAATAAATGATGCAAAGCTACAGTTCTTCAAAGGTAATACGATAGCTAGCAGCAATTTCTATAAAGAACTTATATTATCATTATGAAGATAAACATTATAAATAAAAGGATTTTGCTTTTATGTCAGGGATTTCATTTTAAGACTATTCTAACATCCAGAAGATCACTATTTAATGATATCCCATTTATTATTAGTTACAGATTTTAGTCTCAAG